TATATATATATATATATATATATATATATATATATTCAAAGACGTCTTTAATATATTAAAAATCAATCAAAATATCATTTTATTCATTTTATTGTATCAAAATTATATTATCAATCCTTTCACTTATTCGAATAAAAAGCTATTCTTCTTTCTCCTATTATGAGAAATTGCTTAAAAATATCCTTCTTCCGCCTAGTATTTTAATTTTGCCCTAGCATTATTTTCACGTTTAAGATTGTCGCTCCATTAACGATACAATTAAAATTTTAGTTAAACAAACATAAGTCATTAATTATTATTATTTTTTGAAAATGAGTCTCGTGTACCAAATTGTTCAAATAGAGAGCTGGAATAAAATATTTTGATCCAAATTCACTAAATGAAAGGGCTTAACAAAGAAGGATTTTGTTGGTTTTAGATGCCTTAATTTAAAATGAATTTTGTGTTAATTTGGATCATGAATCACTTGGGTCATTTTGGGTTGGATCAAAATATTTTGTTAAACATTATAATATACGTTTATGTTTAATAATAACTAATGTAAATATCATACAGTTATATTGATGATGGATAATTTTAAGTTTGAAAATGATGTTAGCGATAAATTTGATCTAATAGTTAAAAGGGAGAGTAATTTTTGAGTTTGATAATTCTTTTTATTTGAATAAGCGATTAATTTGATCTAATAGTATAAATGTCTTTGATTGCAGAAGGACTTCAATAATGATCAATTTAATAAGTCAATAAGTTTTTGAATGACTAAAAAGTATAATATGGTTAAAATTGATAGTGCTTCGATAGAGGCTAGTAATTTAAGTCACGAGACATGTAATAGACATGATTAACTTATACAAAGTGAAACTATCGCAAAATAAATACAAATATGTACCATTGTTTCACAAGAAAAATTGTTTAAGTAATTGTGGCTTAGGTCGCAGGTTTAATCTCCATACCATGCAAAACGAAGCTTGATATTTTTATTTAGTAGAAAAGCATAAAGGGGTAAACTCATTATACATCGAGTTTAGAAAGTTATAATTGGTCTAGAGAAGATCAATTATCAAAATAATTGTCTAAAGTTTTTTGAAAATGAAGCTAGCAATAAAAGAAGAAAAAGTATTTCCCAAGATCAAGTTTTTAATGATCTACTCAAAATTGAGTAAAAATAATTGAAGTTCTAGATCCGTAATTGAAGTGTATGACTACTAATAGTGGAGATACACTCAAACTCAGAATCATTATTTAAAACTATAAGTTTTAAAGAGCATGAAAAATTATTTATTGAACATCCATCTCTATCACATACACAATCAATCGATGTCGTATGAAATACAATATCAAGTACTAATCAATTGGAGAAACATATCATTTTAAGATAAGAATAATTATTCAAAATACATAAAGATAAGAAAACATGACGAGAATATTTTTAAAATGTCAAGTATAAAAAAAGTCAAAATGAAGTTAATTGAAGATGACACACACAATCTTATTAGTTCTACATATTTTAATAAATTAATTGAAAATCAAATACTTAACTTCTACAAGACATGATATTGATTATAAAGTTGAAGTGATCATATATGAAGATCTTGATTATTAGGGAGGCTTATTAATTTGAAATTTGTTATTTATTATATTATGTATAAATTAAAGAGCTTTTTAATCTTAATTTAATTTTGTTTGTGAATATTATAAATAAAAATGTTTATTACATATTTTTAACGTAAAAAGATATCGAATAAAATTATTACACAATTTATATCGAAAAAATAAAATAAAATGAGATTGCTTGGCATCCAAAAACTCCTCGAACTCCATTGGCACGTGGCCCGAATTCTCTTCCTTTTCCAAAGCACGTGGCCCGATTTAACACTAAACCGGTTTAGTTCCAAAAAAAGACCGACCCGGTTCAATAATAAACCGGCTTGATCAGTGATGATGAAAAATGAAGGGCTGTGATTGAATCGTCACAAACAAAGTTAGGGTTTCTGTATATAAACGCCGATGTATATAAAGCTTACAGTTTTGCCCAATTCGGGTGTTGCGGTGCAGTTTTCTCTGCCCTCCTCAACCCTAAAAAACCGAAAAATTCTCTCTTCAGTTTCTCTCGGATCTCCGACGATTTTTCTATCTCCATTATTCATCTATTTTACATCTCAAAAAACCCAAAAAATCCCTAAATTTTCGCTTACTTTTTCCTCCATTGGGTTTTCTTATCAATAACATCACATCACAGAGAAAGGGGCAACTGAAAAAAGGAAAAAAAAAGGAGGGTATCTCTTTATTTGTTCCAGAAAAATCTATATATATATATATATATATATTTTTTTTGTTTGTTTGTTGTTATGGCACAGATTCAGGTTCAGCATCAAACACCAGTGGCCGGAGGAAATGGTGTGGCGGTTGCTGCTGCTGCAGCCGGTGCTGCCGCTGCTGTAGCGGCACCAGGTGGAGGAGCCACGAGTCAGTTTAC